GAAAGAGAAACTGTTTTTAATGGCGGTTTCCTCCCTCTTTTATTTAGTTTACAATCTGTTATTTAATGTATGTTACTTTAAACTGGCGAAAATGTAGGTCTTTGATAAATGCTGAATATTATGTGTTCAGGCTAATTGCTTTCACTCCAACAATTCCAACATCTAAAACCAGATGAAGATGTTTCCTTCTACCCATGTCAAAACGTTCTGACAATTATCCCAGCGCCTAATTGCAGCTGATTTAAAAGCCTCTGTGCAATCAGCGAAACACAAAATGCAAAGATGGAAATAATTTTACTACTAAACAAAACCACTAAGACGTACAAAGAAGTCAGCAACATTATACTCAGTGTGAACATCTTCACAAGACAAAGGAGTTCAAGACACAAAATGCGCAGTGAGGGGAAACATTCAAACTGCTTTTGACAAAATAAGTCAAATATTTAACAAATTTCACTTGAAGAAATGTTTGTTTACGGATAAAGTCTGAACTTTGTAAACAGATTTTTTATGTGGAGGCGGCGATCAGAGTCAAACTTTGCGGTTGGAATATTTTCAGGACAGATTTGACCACAGAGAAGTGCCACTGATTTGTTTCACCAATCTTAAAAACAGAAAGTTCCCGGCGGTGCTTTAAGATGTCTGGATCCTACTGTCTGAAAACATTTTTGACAGTAACTGCGTGTGGTTCAGAACTCAGCCCCAATGAGAGTAAAGCCAACAAACATCAATCTTTTAAAAATAAAACCACATTAATACCTTGGAGGCTGATACAACAGATTTGGAAACAACAATTGCTTCTAACCAATGCAGGATTACATGCTGATGTCCTCTGAGGAGAGCAGGTCAACATGTGAAGCACAGTCAGTCAGAGTGAGCTGAGTTTCTGGTCTGTCTCTCCCCCTGCAGGTCGTTTGGAGTGCTGCTGTGGGAGATCCTCTCTCTGGGGTACATGCCGTATCCCTGTAAGACCAACCAGGAGGTGCTGGAGTTCGTCACCAGCGGAGGCCGGATGGATCCTCCCAAGAGCTGCCCGGGGCCTGTGTGAGTCCTGACGGAGAAACAATAAAGAGAGGAGCCTGGGTGTGAAGTTAGAGCAGTTCACATCCAGCGTGGAGGCATGGATTCTGCATTCTTTAACACCTTTGAAAGGGAATTGATTCAACTTTCTGAAAGTTTTCCCTGCTTCTTATCTCAGAAGTAAAAAAGAGCATAAGGCCAGAAAAAATCAGGGGAGGAAAATAAAGTTGGTATGTCAAGAATAACTTTTGACCAAAGCTAAAGCAAGTAGTTCGATTTATACATTTATTTGAACAAATTGTTTTCCTCTAAGTATAAGAGTGATGTATAAGTAAGGACTTTTATGTTAGGAGATTATCGCATGTCTGATCGTATTACATGTACTTCAATAGATGGTTCACATATACAGTTTGAACTGAACTATAAATAAAATGATTCTCTTCTTCATTTATCCATTTTTTGGTTTTAAATAATTAATGCTTGTAATAATCACTTTGTGTTTATTCGTGTTATATATCATTTATGTATAGTTTATGTATTTCTCTTGTTTTTTCATATATTGTAAATCACCTTGTAAATCGTTTTTTTTTTTTCTGTAGCTATCGGGTGATGACCCAGTGTTGGCAGCACTGCCCCGAGCACCGGCCCAACTTCTCCACCATCCTGGAGAGAATGAATTACTGCTCTCAGGTATACTCTTTCAGATATATATATACTCCTTTTTCCTTCATTTTGTTTTGTTTATTAATAACCTTTCCCCTTCACTACTCTATCAGGACCCAGATGTGATCAACACCCCCCTACCAGTGGAGTACTCCCCCACATCAGAGGACGACAGCAGCACAATAATCCGTCCCTCTGACCACACCTCTTCCAGCCTCACTCCCCTCCTGGTGTCCCATCCTGTCTCCCAGTCCCCCTCCCCCCAGCTGGGTCTCTCCTCTCTGGGCCTTGGTGCCGCCCTTCTTCCCCCGCAGCCCACCAAACCCCGTCTGCTCCTCCAGAGGACCCAGCCCGTCCACCACGAGGTGACGTCCTGCCGCGAGGCTCTGGAGCCGTCCTGGGCCGAGCCTGTTCCAGCCCCCGGTCTGTCGGCAGGAGGCCACTGGCTTCAACCCGAGCCCCCCCACCACCGACCGTGCTCCAGAAACAGCTCTTCCTCAGGGAGCCAGAGGCTGAAGAACAAGACCAAGAACCTGTGGAACCCCACATATGGATCCTGGGTTCTGGAAAATCTCCGTGGGAAGAAAACACTAGCTCACACTCAGTCCATGCCACTCTCCAGCTCCGCCTCCTCCAACTCTCAGGCCTTGGAGAGCAACGAGGCTGCGTGTGACCTCAGTCCTTCCTCGACACCGTCCCCTTCTTGTCAGGCTCAAGCGACTCCGAGCACATCCTCCCATAAGACCCCAACTGGTGGCACCACCAAAGCTGGAATGGATCTGGCTAAGTTACAGAGTTTCCCCTGTGGCAACGTCAACTACGCCTACGATGAGCAAAGCTACGAGGCGGAGAGCTTACTCCTGGTGAAGCTCAAAGCCCCAGAAGCCATCTCAAACACCAGCTCTGCCCCCAGTGTCTCCTCAGGGACGGGCCTGGGCCTGGCGCTGGGAATCCCCCCCTCCTCCTTCTCATCCTGCATGCCCAAGCTGCTGCTGAAGCGCCACGCCAGCTACGGACACGAGGACATGAGGAGACACACCAAAGCTGAGAAGCCCACACGTGACCGAGACTCAGGCTTCTCTTTGTCTGAAGACCTCAGCGTCACCCCCATCTAAGAAATCGCCTTCTGTTACAGGGATTTAGATTGATATAAAAATGAAATGTCCCCCCCCAAAGCGCATTTTCTTACCAGCTGAGACTAAAGTGTTTCTGAGTTTCTGGAACAAAAATCATGACCACGAGGGATCCGACACAGTCTGAGAGCCACGACATCGAATTTATTAGAGCTCTGGGAATGCTGGAAAACACAAACATGCCTCTGCTCTGTGACACAGAGAGCCAACGCTGGACTCAGAGCTCCTTCCTGGGCTTCTGGTAGCTGAACACTGGACGACAAGATGCTTTCGCTTGTCCACATTAAATAACTGCTGTAAATGGACTCCTTTTCTACCTTTTATGTTTTAGTTTTTTCATGAGAGCTTTTGCTGTAATAAATGTTGCATAATTGTAAACCATTTGTTGGAATTTGTAGTAATCAGTGTAGGCTACAGTAGGACCGTAACATGACAAAAATATTGAGCCATTGGGAAGAGAATCGCCTAACGTGTGTTTTTGTTTGAGAATGTTTAATTTCAGAAGTTTGTTATTCAGAAAAGGCTCTAATTACTAAAACAGTTTCATTTTTAATTGTATGCATACATCAGATACACTTCTGTGTTTCGGATTTTCTTCACCCTACACAATGTGAAAACACATACTTCAAGTATATTGCAATAACATGTCTCTGCTGTTTTCTCTCAACACAAGGTCTACTTACTTGGCGTTCCTAATGCTTCCCCAGCAGATGGGAGCTTGCTGAGTTTTCCATGGAGGTGATTTAGTTAAGTAAAGAAAGTTCACTTTTAAGATAAAACTCAACATTTCAGATAGTGTGTGGATTAAACCAACAAGATATTATGTTTTATTGGTGAGCTTCAGAGAAACGAGCAGATATTTCAAGGGTGGCTGTTTTCCAATTCCCTAGTATTTATGCTAAGCTAACCACTTGCTAGCTGTAGCTACAAACTACTATGAAAGTGTTTTCTATTTTCTCATCCAAAACGACATATTTTCCATAAAACAAATCGCCTTATATAGTTTTAAAATTGCTTTTGTTAAGTGGTGACTTGCTTCCTGTATAGTCAATGATTAAGTGGAGCTGAGAAATGTTTGCCAATTTACATAAATGTATTATTTTTTCTGATATTTGTTACTGTTCTCTGCTATGTCCCCATATTTACTTGGACCGCAGGTCTCAGAAATGTATAAGTGTGTAGAATGTGATGACCATGCAGCTGTGGAGATATTTTTGTACTCACTTCGTACACTGGACTAACCCATTTGCATTTGTAGCTGTATTGTTTTTTTCACTTATGTTAATGATGGATCTGTAGTTGATCACTGCCATTAAATACTGCTGCACTGCATCTGCTGATGTAGTGCTGGTAGTACCTATGTTTACTCAGCAGGGGGAGGTATTCAGATATACCAAACGTGCTGCTGCGGGTATCTCAGTTCATATTATTCAAAGATTATTCAGTATTTATGTTTCTTATTTAATCGATTGTGTTTGATACGTGTCTTTATTTTCATCCTAAACATTTATTTTGTAATATGTTGTGTGACTGGTTACATTTATATAAGGGTTATTTAGGCTTACTGTATGTGTTTATGCTCAGGCCTGCTGATATTAGTGAGAGATGTTCTGGTTGCTCTTAATTCCACTTAAAATTAGAAAAGGTGACTCACCAAAAGGCTGACTATCTTTTTCTAAAGTCACATTTTTAGCTAGAGATGTGTGCCATTAAAAAAACATTGGTTAATGTGGAATTTATTTTACAGAGAAAGACAAATCCATCTGTGTCTTGCTCACAGTGTATATTATTGGCCTGGTGCATTTTATTTCACACTTATTCAAAATGTTTTTCCTTCTGTATTCTTGAAGTAGCTGACGGTGTTATGCCTCAACCAAAAATACAAAGATATTCTATGCAAAACACTGTATTTCACACTTTCCTCTAACCTTACTGTGCCCCAAATAAATCAACATATATTGATCATATGTGTGTGAATCTGATCAGTTACACGATGTGAGCTCACTCCTTACTAACATACTAAGATACCACAATGGTGTTCTACCATTAAGAATAAAAACGAACTGTATTTGCCCTTCGAATCCCCTAGTCAGAGCTGGTGGATGTGGCCAGGGAAAGGGAGGTTTGGGGCCCTCTACTGGAACTGCTACTGTACTCGGACAAGCGGTAAAAAAAGGATGGATGGAGTATTTGCTCTTTTTAATTTGATATACATTTTCATTCTTTACACTTGCACAAATGTGCTAGAACAAGAAAGGAAAATAATTACAAGTTTGATTATAATCAATGAAAGAAATATAAATTGATACATAGTAAAATGTTCAGAACAGTTCAAACTAATCATCATGCAGTACTTTATTATTGTAGTTATATATATATATATATCTGTGAGTTTAACACCACACAGAATCTCCCCTTTAATGTCACACTTGCAGATGTAACATTATGACTGAGGGGTTAGATGGTAATAAGGAGGATTTAGGACTTTGCTTACCTACTCCTTGTTTTTAAGTCGTGTTTCACGTGTCACCCTGAAACTAAAATGCATATCCCTACACTTTCACTTCTGTTCATTTTATAGGAAGTTGAATTAGTGTCAGTTCATTTGCTCAATCTTTCAGTAACTAGTGACAAATTCTCTGCTCCTCTCTGTTTATCGTGTCTTTTCTTTCAGTGGATTTATCATAGTAATACAATGCTCTTTCTTGTAGCATGTATGCACTTTTTTTACATTTATCATCCAGCACCCAAAGCCAATCTACTTGTATGAAACCTCCCTCAGAGGCTCTCTGTCTGTTAGTTTGACTTCCCATAGGTCACGGGTCACTGACAGTCTGTTTCCTTGGTAACTGAGCTGAAGGACTCTTCATTGCTGACAGACTTCAGAGTGTCGAGGAGTTTTTGCAGCCCCCACAGGTATCCGTCCTCCCGGTTGCCTTCCTGCCAGGGAATGTCGTGATTTAACGTCTGGCCCTCCGGTAACACTGTCGTCTTTCCAAAGTCAATTATCCACACCTGTGCATTGCTCTTGTGGTCGTGGATAAAGAGGAGAGAGCTGCCAATAACCTATAGAAAACAAGACGGTTTTCATATTAGCCTTTCCTTTTCCCTCTTCTATTCGAACATTCATTCTGATGAGGGAAAACATAACAATGTGGTTTTTTGTTGTCAATTAGCTCGTTCTTCACCGGAGAGATCAGAATCAGACATCCTCTGTTTGTCCTTCAATTGTTACAATACCAAAGGCACAGTGCAGATAACACGTATATAAATAAAGAGTGGACTGGTTAGCTTAAAGTATTTTTGATGGTGTTAAGACAGTGGTACATCATTCACATTCAGATCTTGTGAAGGGATGGTGTTCAGTCCCTTAAGTTGAGCTTTAGTTCCTACAACAGTTGTTTTAAGAGTTCATTTTTTATGCTTTAATTTGCCATCATGTTTTTAGATCGGTCATCACCTCGTGTTGCTTGAAGAACTCTGACGTCTTCAGGGCCTGTTGGATCTCCTTGAGTCTGCTCAGGTAAGACTTCTGTGTTAGAAGAGAAAAACAGTGATGGGCAGATACTGTTAATACTAACATTACATGCAGGCTTACATTATAATGAACTGTTGTAGCTAGCAGGGTGTATAGAGTGTGTCCTACTATAATAGAAAACTCAAACAGCATTACGGACTATGACTATGTATTATTATTTACTATTTAGGCTTTTTTCATTTAGCATTATCTGTCCACCAACCTTATCGAAATCGGAGGATGAAAACCTCTTTAATTGTCACACATACATGCACACAGCAGCACACACAGTGGCATTTGACCTTAGTGTAAGGACTGAGTGATAAGTATTAAAAAATAATGTATATTTGTCAGAACCAGGATATGAGAGCTTACTCAACAGGTGTGTTTGCAGTTAGTGTTGTGTTCCAGCTAATGCCTGTGTGACCGCCTTGTGTATACGACAGTAAGGTTATGTTTGTCTTTATATGAATGAATAAACAGCTAACGTGTGCAGAAGCAAAGTGACTGCCACGTACTAGGATGTCGGGGTTCCCTCCGACAAAGTCCTTGAACTCTTGGACAACATCCTGCTTCGATCGGGTTTTCTTGAAATCAGTTCGACATGTGCCGTCAGATTTCTAAAAAAGAGGAAATATTACATAATAAAAATACTTTTTGCCTCAGATTGGACTGAATGTATGAACATTCTTTAAATTAATTAATTAATTTAATTTAAAGGAATAACTCATTTCATAACATCAAATCGTCAGTTAACAAACTCACACACAACTTGTGCAGTATAGTCCAAGTCTCTAATCGATTTAGTCTTACTACTTCACTAAAACATTACTTAATACACTTTCAACAGTACTTGTATTTACCGTAAATATCTAGAAGATTGGAATCCTTTTCATATTACATATGGCCATATGACCGATGGATGATACAGCAAATATCAAGTATTTCAGCTTAGACACATCATGATAATGATTTGTGATTGATTGAAGATTGTGCTCATGTTTTCAATTATAGCTTTATAGGGCCTTGTTCAACGGTTTAAGTGTATTTTAATGTTTCCAATGAATACCACTAATGACATGTCCCTCTACCTTGATCCCTTCTATTCTGAAGCCCAGGGTGTTGGTGGAGCTCATGCTCTCCCTCCACTGCATGTAGCGAGGCTTGGTGACCCCGCGCTGAGAATGCTCCTGGGGGGTCGGCCCCTCACTGTCCACCTCCACCATCTTCTTGTACAGGTCTTCTCTCTGCTTGGGCCGCTCCCGCGCCCGGACCAGCTCCTCCTCCAAGTACGTCCTGAAACAGCAGGAGGAATGAGGCCTCAGGTGAAGGAGGTGCATGTTTACACACTACTGTTCTCTGCATTTAAGTAAATATTAAACCGTGTTTACTTTCAGGGTTTGTCTTGCACCCTTAGTTATTAAGATGCAAGAACTTACAAATAAACTCTCCTGCTGCACTTAAAACAGAGAGATCCTTTTTAAACATCAATCATGCATAATAGCTGACCATTGTATAAAAATGCCCAAACTGAACTGCTCTGTTGAAGGCAACATACTTTATGAAATTCAGCAGCGCATTCACACTTTGTATTCTTTCATACCACACAGTAAGGTGCAAGCAGATGTGGATTTCAGTTTCAGTTTGTGAGCTTCACTTCCTCTCTGCTGAAGAGGGAAGCTGAGAGGAGAATCCAGCGTGCAGCGTTTAACTGTGTGAAAGTCTGAGTGCGTGTCTGAGTGCAACTTAGCGGTTTTGCAACTTTGTGGTGTGAGTGTTTTTGACGAAAGGGGAGTCTCCAGGGACACCCTTAGTTAGTGTTTGTGTGTATATATGTATGTGTGTGTGTGTGGCCTTTGAAACATAAGCGCACAGAAAGGCTAAGCAGGCAATATAGTAATTTGTTTAAGTGTGTATCGTAATGTGTAAGTTAGTTTAGCGCATGTGTGCAATGCATGTTAAACTGGAAATAGTTATCAGGGACCTCCACGTGTGTGTGTGTGTGTGTGTGTGTGTGTGTGTGTGTGTGTGTGTGTGTGTGTGTGTGTGTGTGTGTGTGTGTGTGTGTGTGTGTGTGTGTGTGTGTGTGTGTGTGTGTGTGTGTGTGTGTGTGTGTGTGTGTGTGTGTGTGTGTGTGTGTGTGTGTGTGTGTGTGTGTGTGTGTGTGTGTGTGTGTGTGTGTGTGTGTCCTGTGCACATAACGCATTGAGGCACCCCGCCCGCTGCGGCAGGAAGCCAAGCATATAGCCTGCAGTTACAACAGGTGTTCCCTTGTAGAGCAAACATGCTTTAGGTGGCATACTGTTTATTCATTCTGAGAAATAAACTACAAAACCGTTTCACGTGTTGAAAAACGAAGGTTATAATTATAGAATATATGCGTAAATCTCTAATATAAGTAATTCAATGTATACCTTACTTTCTTACCTCACTCCCATCTTGCAGTCCATAACATTGGGGAGGTCAAAGTTTGACAGGAGGTCAGTCATATGAAGGAAAGACTCTCCATCTTTTTCCACAACACCGTGGAAACTGGGCACGAACGGGAGCAGCACGTCATCCCTTAGCTTTTCGAAACACTGCTTCTCGTTCTCAGAGAACTTCTTCAGGATGTTGCCCTCGTCTGCTGCTTTGAAGTTCCCTGAGATAAAAAGAAGATTTCAGGCTTTTAAGAATGAAATGCTAGAAATGACTCATAATGACTAGTTTATGCTTTTTAAATCCATGTTTTTCTGCTGCAGAGGGGATCGTTTTCATTACTAAAATTAAAACTAAACAATAGAACAATAAGTGGGGGAAAAAAGTAAAACAACATGAACATACATTTATTTTAGTTTTAGTTTGTTAGCTATAATTATAGGAGGAGGCGTGTGGCGCAGTGGATAGAGCGTTGGTGTTCGGATTAAGGGGTCACAGGTTCAAACCCCACTGCTCCTGTGGGGACTGCCCACAGTATTGAGTATATACGTCACTTTGGATAAAAGCGTCTAACAAGTAACATGTAATGTAATGTATCGCTGTTGAAAAAAGGAAACAGCATGAATTTCCATCAGCTTTCGTGACATTACCCACAGAAATGAAGTGGCTTTGCCAGAACTGTTTTACATTGGACACATTTAAAGGTGGGGTAGGTAAGTTTCAGAAACCGGCTCGATTGCACTAAAATTTGAAAGTACACAGCCGAAAAGAATCCGCCCCCTCCTTCAGACTTCCTTACAGAGCACCTCCTCCAACACACATGAACGCGCACATGACGTCAGCAGACTGGTGAAAGTGGCCGCCTGTTGCTGGCGAGTCATTGAAGTACTGTTGCAATGCACGCCCAATGAGGGCACGCCCAATGAGGGCACGAGATACATTTGTGCGATTGGTTGTACTTTTTACAGTACTACGGCTTCCACAGATGACATTTTTTTATGGATTTTTTGTCAAAGCACTTCAGATATTCATTGCTATCGGATGTTAAGAGCATTCTATGGAATATAAAATAAAGTGTATCTCGAGCCGGTTTCTGAAACTTACCTACCCCACCTTTAAGTAGCGAGAAGATTCAACATTAATGCCATTTCTCCAACCATATATCTTGTATGTGAATGCAGCTACATCATTCTCAGACATTTGCAAAAAACGACTTAAAAACTGATCTAGAAATGTAAACGTCAAAATAAAGAATAACAACCCTGGTTGCAGGGTCAAATTAAGTATTTCCATCCATCGGGGACAATCCCCGACCTCTTACCCGCAGCTTCTCTCTTTCATTAAAGCTGTCACAGAAGTTAAACGACACAGAACTGATCTGAATAAGTCATACCTTTATGCCCGGCTAGCTGAACCCAATTTAGTTTTCTCCTCTGCGTAGCGCTGAAGGGCCAGTGGACGACCGTCTTCAACTTCCACCACGGCTTGCTCTGGAGAACACATGCAAGCACACAGAAGTAAATATAATAGAACAAAATAGACTTGTGGTAAAGCGGCGAGTACAGTTTTTGGGTTTATCCTGTGTCCTCCATATCAATTATTTGAGAACATGAAGAAGTGCTGACCTTGTCCATCCTTCACTGTTTGAATAAAAAGTGTTTATATGCAGTTAATCTGATGCCAGCCGTTTAGTTCCACTGCATGAAATCTAGGTCATTAAATCTGCACTAGACATCTCGATTCAGCATCTACTGCTTAGTGTGGGTAAAAATCCACTATCTAAAATCAGTTTCCTGGTTATATTGCTTTTATCTTGAAGTATAAACATGTCCCACTGAATTAAATATGCAACATTTGTCATCTGTAGTCAGATTGCATTTTTTTATGGGAAAATCTGAAGGTTTAACACCGAATAATCAAGGGTGACATTGCGCTTGCTGCTGGCATCTTGATTGCCACTCAGCAAAGTCTGAATTGTTCGGTGTCATAATGTATGACTGCAACACATCAAATGATGCACTGAATCCTGAACAAAGCAAAATAAAAAAGATGACTGATGGGCAAATTATATTTCCTCGGCTGGGACGTTTATTCTTTCATGGTTGTTTGTTTGAGGACTCCTCTCATTGCAGGTTTGCTTTCTCCTTCTTTCTCTGTCTCTTGCTATGCAAACATCACATATCCACACACAGAAAAACACAGGAACAGCTTGCATATTTCACAGACACTGTAGTTCTTCACACTTCTGGAGAACTGCTTGCTTTATTCCCTCCAAGACTAAATCTCAAATAACACACACTTAAACATTGAGAGGGATATATTTCTTTACAATAATCTCAAACATAATCATAAGGAAAATACACACGCATGAACAACCTCCTAGACGTAGGAGAGGGAAAGAAGTACTGTTGTTGTGATCCTATCTTGAGGCTTTGCAGAGGTCATTTTATTCTGTGTTCTGATTGAAACAGGAAATGAAACAGGGACTGTGTGTTCATGAAACACAAAGCTCTGCCGCAGCACACCGAGTCTGGTAAATGTCAAGGGATACGCTTCACTTACTATGGTGCTACTACTTCACGGATCATATCCAATTGTGAGGGTGTTTATTGGCTTCTCAGTGGACACTGGCAGATACTGTGTACATTTTTAATTTATATTGAATTCCTTGCACACTTAATGTAGATAATATCCTACTTTTATATATGTTTTGCTGTAAATTGGCCCTTCAATAGTGTTTTCTTTGTCAGATAGTTTACAGATTTGTATTTCACGGTCAACTTGTATATTTTCTACACCTTAGTGCTGTTCTTATTTCTATTTTTGAAATGTTTCTATTTTATAGTTGTTTATTTTCTACTCTTTTTAATTTATAATAATGTGCAATGCCTTGTTGTTTTTTATCAAAGTCATCTTTATTGTCAATCTTTCCGTTTGTGTGTATAGACAGAGAGATCGAAATACCGTTTTCCCACAATCCCGAATACAAAAATACATATATATATATTAAAATATCTATATCCCATATATATATAATCAACACACATTTATACATATGCACACATTAAGATAAAAACACAACATCAATATACACAAAATAACAGTCACTTCAATGTCTTTGGGAATCTACATTAGTGCAAGCTAATGCTGCTGTGACTTATCTTATTAACAGTAAGTTACAAACTCATGAACATTTTTAAATCACACTATTTGTCGCACTTCTAATCATACACAGTAACGTGTACTAAAATGATATTGTGTATACAGTTGCAAGAAAAAGTATGTGAACCCTTTGGATTCTCCACACATAGCGTTGTGTGTTCCTTCCAAACAACTCAACTTTGGTTTCATCTGTCCACAGAATATGTTGCCAGTAGTGCTGTGGAACATCCAGGTGCTCTTTTGCAAACATCAAACGTGCAGCAATGTTTTTTCTGGACAGCAGTGGCTTCCTCCGTGGTGTCCTCCCATGAACTCCATTCTTGTTCAGTGTTTTACGTATCGTAGATTCGTCAACAGAGATGTTAGCATGTGCCAGAGATTTCTTTAAGTCTCTAGCTGACACTCTAGGATTCTTCTTCACCTCATTGAGCATTCCGGCGGGTGTGGCAAGGTATACAGCACATCACCAACTACAAGAACAATAACAGCACAACGGTTGATGGGGACGCCTCACTGGCAGAGGAACTTAATTGTTTCTTTGCTCGTTTTGAGGTCAATGCAGTAGAGACGGACACAACAACCTCACCAGCATCCAACAGTCACACCCTCACTGTGCAGGAGCATGATGTGAGGCGTGTGCTCAGAGCGGTGAACCCGAGGAAAGCTGCAGGCCCTGATGGCGTGACGGGAAGGGTGTTGAAGGAGTGTGCAGACCAACTTACGGAGGTCTTTACAAAGATCTTCAACCTGTCACTCTCCAAATCCATCATCCCTTCGTGCCTGAAATCTGCCACAATCATCCCTCTGCCGAAAAAAACCATCATCTCCAGCCTCAACGACTACCGTCCGGTAGCACTCACACCGCTCATCATGAAGTGTTTCGAGAGGCTGGTCCTGCAGCACATCAAAACCATTCTCCCACCCACCTTCGACCCAAATCAGTTTGCGTATAGAGCAAATAGATCTACAGAGGATGCCATCGCCACTGTTCTTCACAGTGCACTGTCCCACCTTGAACACCAGGGGAGCTATGTGAGGATGCTCTTTGTTGATTACAGCTCTGCCTTTAATACAGTCATCCCGGGAAGATTGGTTTCCAAGCTATCTGACCTAGGATTCTCCCCAAACATCTGCCAATGGATTAAGGACTTCCTAACTAACCGCCCCCAGACAGTGAGAATAGGCCCTCACCTTTCCTCCACCCTCACACTCAGCACCGGTTCACCACAAGGCTGTGTGCTGAGCCCCATGCTCTACTCCCTGTACACCTATGACTGTGCCCCCACTCACCCCACCAACACCATCGTCAAGTTCGCGGACGACACAACCGTGGTTGGACTGATCACAAGAGGAGATGAGTCAGCCTACAGGGATGAAATCCAGAGACTGGCAGTGTGGTGTTCAGATAATAACCTTGTTCTGAACTCCATAAAAACAAAAGAACTCATTATAGACTTCAGGAAAAACAGCACAACACCAGATCCACTGTACATCAACGGCAACTGTGTGGAAAGGGTTCCTGCCTTCAGGTTCCTCGGCACACACATTTCTGAAGATCTATCCTGGTCTATCAACACCACACCATCTGTGAAAAAGGCCCAGCAGCGACTCCACTTCCTGAGGATCCTCAGGAAAAACAACCTGGAGGAGAAGCTCCTGGTGTCTTTCTACCGCTGCTCCATAGAGAGTGTGCTGGCATATTGCCTAACCACGTGGTGTGCCAGCTGCTCAGAAAAGGACAGGAAAGCCCTTCAGAGGGTCATCAACACAGCCCAGAAGGTCATCGGCTGCTCACTGCCTTCTCTGGAGGAACTCTTCAGCCAACGTTGCCTCAACAGAGCAGGCAAAATAATTGCAGACTCTTCACACCCTGGACACTTCCTGTTTGCTCTTCTGCCCTCCGGTAGACGCTACAGGTCAATTCAATCGAGGACAAACCGACTGAAAAACAGTTTCTACCCCAGAGCCATACGAGAACTGAACACCGTCAAACACTGAACTAGCACACACACAGTTACAACTTGCAACTGCACTACTTCTTAATAGTTTTATTAATTTATTAACTGATCGACATCAGAGATGCCAAATATCATCCCTGTATTTTTATATTGTAAACTGTATTTAAATAATGTGCGGGCATGTATGCATGTTGGTATGGATGTGTGAGCATATGTTTATGTGTGTATATGTTTATATAGATATATTTATTTGTTTTATGTGGAAATGCACTGCGAGGATTGCTTTTTTTTAAATGTCGTTGTACCTGGTGCGATGACAATAAAGGAATTCTATTCTATTCATTCTGCGCTGTGCTCTTGCAGTCATCTTTACAGGACGGCCACTCCTAGGGAGAGTAGCAACAGTGCTGAACTTTCTCCATTTATAGACAACTTGTCTTACCGTGGACTGATGAACATCAAGGCTTTTAGAGATACTGTTGTAACCCTTTCCAGCTTTATGCAAGTCAACAATTCTTAATCGTAGGTCTTCTGAGAGCTCTTTTGTGCGAGGCATGGTTCACATCTGGCAATGCTTCTTAAGAATAGCTAATTCAAAACTGGTGTGTATTTGTTATAGGGCAGGGCAGCTTTAACCAACACCTCCAATCTCGTCTCATTGATTGGACTCCTGGTTGGCTGACTCCTGACTCCAATTAGCTCTTGAAGAAGTCTTTAGCCTAGGGGTTCACCCTGCACTGTGAATGTTTACATGGTGTGTTCAATAAAAACATGAAAACATATAATTGTTTGTGTGGTATTAGTTTAAGCAGACTGTGTTTGTCTATTGTTGTGACTTAGATGAAGATCAGAACACATTTTATAACCAATTTATGCAGAAATCCAGGTCATTCCAAAGGGTTCACATACTTTTTCTTGCAACTGTAGCTATAGGAAGCCAAGAACAAATAGAAAAAAGGGATACAAGTTTGTTTTATCATGTGGCGTTAATTCTTATCCACAGACTGAGAGGCAATGGAATCTCTGAGTTTCATTGAGGCCAATATTTATATTTTACACGCCATGGTGCCCCAGCTAGCCTTGATGACAGAAACCACAAGAGATTGAACTGATAACACTTAGGAATAATACTGGTTTCACTCTCAAGAACTGTACAAAGCAGAGTTCATCAATAATACTGTACTTAGTACAATATTAAACATTTCAGCACTCTTGGCAGCAGGAACAATACAAGGGGCCTCAATTACACACTGTTGTTTTATGAGGTATCACAGGTCAGATTTGTTGAGAAACACTGAATAAATCATTTACATTGGTTGTGATTCTGATTCTTTAATGAATGAATTAAGCTTATGATATGTTTTTTATAGTTCCGTCTTAATTCTAATAGTAATCGGTAGCCATATATCAAAGTAGGGGAGTCAAAAGTACAATGGTTCCCTCTGAAATGCCATAAAGCAGAAGTAAAAAAGGCCAGAAAATAGGAATATTCAAATAAAAGCACCTCAAAGTTGTGCAGAACTTGAGTGAATATACATAGTTACTTTCAACCACAACCTAATATAAATTCCACACAAATGCTCTGTTGTGTTAGTCTAATGTTTGCTTTCTCTTCAACACTGAGTATACAACAGTGTTGATCCGAGCCTTTGGGGAAGTTATGAGCCGCGCCAACACACACACAACTGAGAGCAAACATTACCAATTCCCAACAATGCATTTCAAAGGACTGAGGAAAACAACAGAGTCGATGTGACTCGCTCAGCCAAACATTGTTTTTCCATGGTACGCTAAGTGTCACCTTGACATGCAAATGGGATTCAAACCACTGCAAGATGATGAAATGAATTATGCTGCAATCACAAGCAAATGCTCTTTGCTGCATTTCCATTGAAAGAACTTTGCTCCATTGGACCTTTATCTCTAGAATACATGCTTTAAAAGCGTGAACTGGCAAAAGCTTAGTGCTGATACACAGTGTGATTGACTTCCTGAAGTGTGGCGTTGTTAAATGTCAAAGGCCACAGCTTGGTTATTATTGACCACAGAAAAACATATTACACAATAACATGTGAGCTTGTGCTGCACTTTGTGTGTCTGTGTTGGGTGTGTGAGTGTGTGTGGGGGCTGATGTGTGGGCAGAAGCATAAAAGTGGCTATGTTCAGAGGTGTCACCAGCAGCATATTTCCATTTAAAAGTGCAAGGCCTTAAAGTGCCAGAATGGAGTTTTATTTGGAAAACCTTCACACTGAGCCACGCTTGATGGACAGTGTGACTCTTTCTCACACACTTGCACACAGGCTACACAGGCAATGTGTATTCAGTCTGTTTCAAATAAAGTGACAGCTACAGACTTTGTATGGAGAAGGCAAAGAGAAGCGGCACGATTAAAGCACACAAACACACACACCCAATGACAGTCTGAACCTGAATCTCATGCAGGGACTGGTTTAGACAAAAAGCAGGATGTGCTGTAAGTGCAGAAACCAATGGTGACTCACTACCATCACACTTCCCACTAAATCACACAAAATGCACGGTTTTTCGGTAGAATATCAAAAATGTGTGCTTCTGAAAGTGCTCTATTTGAATGTTCAACAAGACTCAGACTTCTCGGCCCACGACTAAAAAATCTTGAATGTCAAATACATGTCCACCCTCAGAGTGTATTGAAGTAAAGGCCGATCCTTCAACACTAGTCTGTTTGCTGTAGGAGGGACGCAGAGTGATAAAGGTCACGCATTACAGCACCGAAACATGACCTGACATTTAACACGCACATTAATTTCTATTATTTTTAATGACATGTACACTTAATCGTACAATATGTAGTTTTCTAACAAACTTAAAAGGGGCCCATAGGAGTGTTTCATTGCAGTCAGCTCCCCCACTAAAAAAATATATCATAATCATTGTTCAGGATATTTTTGCAAGCAGCCGAATTATTCTCCTCTCCCAAACAAACTGACCAGGGGAATAAACTGGTATAAACAACAGTATAAAAAAGCAGTTTAACTTTCTGTTTTCAGTGTTTTGTTAGTAGGCACGTAGCTCAAGGCTAACGCTTGTTTGGCTTGTGTCTCTCAAAATGTATGGTAAAAGTGTGGCCTGTAACTGGATTCAAAGTTAATGTTTGAAAGCTACTGGCAGAATGCGGAGAAGTGCAGAAGACTTGATTACAATTAAGAATGTATCCATTACAAATGTTAAGAAACATTTGGTATAATGTAAGTATTATATCCAACAACATATTTAACATAAGTATAGTAATTATTGATATAAAAGTAAATGACTTTTTTCAAAATAGTGATTATTGAGGCTGTGATTCTTATTAACAATTTGTACCATGTGCCCTTTAAGATAATCTGCTGTAAACAAAATGACGTGTCATGTTTCCTCACAGCAAAGGTCATCAAGCTTTCAGCGGCTTCTTCATGTTGTCTTAACAGCGCCGGGGATCATTAAGGTGATGTGAGAGGCTCTGATAAGCCATTAAACATAAGCAGGGATAATGTGATTTCAATGGGGACAATCACATTTCCTCAAAGATTATCCTGCTCTCTAGCAAGGATCTCACAGTTGTTTAATCTTTCACTGAACATAATCTTAAGCAACAAGAAGAGAGTATCACTCTGACAACTGAAATATTCCAGATCTCAAACAGCATACCTAAGAGCAGAACAGATACAAAAATAGCTTAGTAGAAGTGACTAATCCTCAATACTGCTGAACTCACTTGTAAAACATGCTTTTTATGGGACTTAAAACATCAACTAAGCTAACAAATACTAACACTGTAATTGTCTCCCCTCTGCAGTCAGAGGTTCCTGCGGTCCTCTGAGAGGAAGTCGTTTGCTGACTGCTGTTTATCTGATGCTGTGCTGCACTGTTTTCAAATCATCAGCTTTTTACTGTAACTGGATCATTATAGGGGGATGCAGACACACAAGGTCAAAGACGGCATTTGCAAATGTTTTTGTAAACATCCTGTCCTGCCCCACCATGCAAACAATTCACTTTTACTACAGTGAAACTTGTTTACATCACAGATTATTCATTTGCAATTACTGACACCTCTCTGCCACAAATATTACTTTGGTTAATATATACATTAAAGATTTAAATAGTGCACTTTTCTAGACATCTTTTGAACTTGTGTGATTGTCATATTTTCTTCAACACTGGTTGAGCATGCATAATGACAATAATTAGCACACACTTGTCCTAGGATGCTCCAGATATTTGCTGTAGTTTATTTAATCATTTAATCATCTATACATTTTTGTATTCATTTATACAAAGAGGGAACAGATTGTATCGAATTATGTTATACACTTTAACTGGGACAAACCATAAACTACAGTGGCATGATTCGCTGGAAAACCTTCACTGGGGAACCCCTTTAATGGCCCTCTTAAAGTCTTGATATATATCTTTATGTGTTTGCCTCACCTCTCCAGAGTCCCCCAGATGCTCTAAAGTGATGATGCCTTTGCTTTTGCTCTCGTTGTCGCTGAGTATATCATCCTCGGACTCCACCAGAGAAGAGCCTGTGGAGGAGATGGAGGAGTTGGACAGTTTCCTGCGCAGGGTTCCGTCCACAGCATCATCCCAGTCCTCCTGCTGCATCTCCCTGGAGGAGCCGCCTCCCTCCGGGGTGATGGTGACCTGCGGTACCCGGGGAGAGTCCATCACAGCCGGCGCTCTGGCTGAGGACGACTCGGTGATTTGAGCGGCTCTCTGAACGAGATCATCGCAAATCTGTGGTGCCTTCCCGGCTGCTCTTCGCTCTAAACGCGACCCTTCTGTAAATACAGTCCCAGAAAGACCGAAGTCCTTGGAGCTCTTCCTCCTGCACTCTTTGGGCATTGGAGACCTGAAGCACTTCAACCTTCAAATCTGGTCATTTCACTTTCCCGAAAGTTCAGTATTAGTTGTATTCAGTCGATCCTCAGAGATACTTCCTCGTGTTTGTTGTCCTTTGTCACACATTAAAACAACTCTCTGATAGCCTCTCTGCTCTGCGCGTGATGTTGGAAAGGGGAACCCTTCTCTGCTGGAGGCTTGGCTCGCGCGTTTACGCGGTTAAACACTCACGCGCACCGGCGCACTACACAACCGTAGAAGGATTATTATCTTCCGCAATGCCTCCCCGCTTCCTGACTGTAGAGTTAAATCAGCTGACAGGTTCAGTCTTGTAAAGGTAAACACATGTTTTGCCTTGAGCATGAAAATAGGCTTCCACATTAATCTCACTCTAACGGGAATATGCCTTTAAATTACAATGATATTACCTTCAGATTAAAAGGTAGTTGCTTAACAAGCAGCCACACAGGCATTATCATAACACATGTTTTACAGTAGTTGCTTCTTCACATTTCTACACAAATACATGAAGCCTACCTGCATAAACACATGTTCAAAACCTTCAATCTATGTTTTTACTAAATGGTGTCATTTGTTTAAAATAAAATATTTCTCACTCCTAAATGGCCACTAGAGAGCGAGCTTTATGAAACCTAGATTCATTACTTTAAAGATTGAACAACTCTCTGGGCCCTTCTCACTTCGGTTAAATGGATTCCTTGCGTCGTTTCCCTGTGACTAGTCCCTCCCACCAGGGAAGCATGGAGAGATGCTAGAGAGGCTTCTCAATACTCAAATGTCCCCTCCTCGACTCCTCGGTCCTCCGGTAGTGACCCGGAAATGAATTTCAGCGCGCCATTTTGAAGGACGTCTCATTTCTCTAAATACATACCGAGGACCGAGGATCGAGCGTCGAGGAGGCTCTCTGGAGGAGCTATAACCGAGGATACACTGATGGTTCCTCCACGGATGCATTTCCGGGAACGGTGGAGGCGTGACGCACGGCCGGACTTATCTCAGCCAATGACAGCTATGCATGCATCCCCTGGATATTATTTTAGAAACTGCTTTCATCGCGTCGCGATGTTTCCAGAGAGAACAGCTGTGAGGTCCGTGCAGAAAGCAGAGCAGTGTGTATAATATATATCACTCAGTATAACAGGCCGACTCTCTTTGCTTTAGTTTAGTAGATATACAAACAAAGAGTCGATATTTTTCTAAGACCATTGCTTCACATAATAAAATACACAACGGCTTATGCTTTAGGAGCTGTAGGTGTGTGTGGTACAGTGTGTAGGTGTGTGTGGTACAGTGTGTAGGTGTGTGTTGTACAGTGTGTAGGTGTGTGTTGTACAGTGCGTAAATGCGGCGGACAGACGGGTCTCAGTTGGTTTGGTGTCCTCTGCTTACTTTTAATAGGCCTACTTGTAAATACAACTTTTGGCCCGTAATTTCAATTCCCCATTTCAGCGACCAGAGAGAGGGGGGGATATATCCAGTCTCTGATTGTGTTACGTTATTATGAGAGTGCTCTCATACTTTAAATTGTATATATTTATATAAATATATTTGTGTGTGTGTGTCCGCATCTGTAGCCTGTTATTGTCTCATTATACCGCACTCTCAATTAATTCAAAGTAAATATGTGGGGGAACAATGTTCAGCTGATCTAACAGAGATACAGCGCTATGACAAAACACTCGACAGCTGATGCAGCTGTTGCCACGTAATAATGAACGGACGTCTCTTTAAAAATGACCGCTCAGAGGAGAGGAGTTCTCATTTCTTTAAACGTCTGCTGCTTCCCCTCCTCGGTCCTCCGCTCGCATCTCCTATGGGCGGGTCTAAAGTCTCGAGGAGGGGAACCGAGGAGGGGACATTTGAGTATTGAGAAGCCTCTAAGGCAGTGGTTCTCAAACTTTTTCTGTCAGGCCCCCCCTTTGGAGAAAAAAAAAAGTTGGGCCCCCCCAACACAAAAAGTCAGGCTCAGTGGCGGCGCCAGAGATTTATTTTGGGGGTGCTGTGGGGTAGCTTGACGTTTCATAGAGGGTGCTCAAACATTTAGGGTTTCCCATTAATGTACCGGTCGCTACAGGGGAATGTTCTACTGCAACACTCCCCACGCAAATACACAGTGTGACTGTTACAATGAAGGCTCGATAATCAGCTCACGGCATAGGTGTAAGCAGGGGTCAAGTGCTATTTTTATAGGTGGTGTGTGGACCTCACATAGGGGGGTCCTCACCTCACATAGGGGGGGTCCTCACCTCACATAGGGGGGTCCGGGGGCAAGCTCGTCCGGGAAGATTTATTTTTAAATATTGAAGTTAAAAGCATCAATCTGGTGCACTTTGAGAGCAAAATGAAGAGATCTATGGATACATCTCTCAACACTCATATGAAACAGAACTGTAAACAGATTTACTTTTTCTTTATGGATATTTTAGAAATCACCCTTTTAAACTTTTTTTACTGTCATATAGTATTTCATTTATTCTCCTTATATCTGTTAGCGTAGCTCGCTAGCACCAGAAGCTAACAACAACGATCTCCAGTAACGGTGCGCTCTCTCTCTTGCTCGCGCACACAAAATGGCTCGTTACACACACACACACACACACAGAGCCAAGCTTTAATGAAACACAGAGACCCAGACGTAATAGTACTGCATCATATTATTTTAGAATCAATAATTTTTCAAATTATGATTTTTTTTTTTTATAACCATTTTTCCTCCTGGTCTCTCGGGCCCCCCCCTATCATGCCTCTGCGCCCCCCAGGGGGGGCGCGCCCCCCACTTTGAGAACCACTGCTCTAAGGAAACCACGAGAAACAGGGAAATTAGTTTTAAGAGCAATGGGACGTCCTTTCCTCCGTAGCGTCACGTGAAGCGACGACCGTTTGTGATGACGCCCGGCTCCACAGCTGATCGTCTGACAGCAGCTCTGTCCCCGTTATTTCCACACACACCCCCGCATCTGTTAGCACACATTTACTGACACAAACATGTGTATCATCTGTTGTAGACCCAAATACATTAAATAAAATAAGAACTCATTCACAAAAAAGATAAACGCCATTCTTAAAATGTATTGAAAAAAGCGATCATGAAAATGTTTCCAATAAATGAAGAAAATGATTTTTGACCACTTTGTTGTTCAGATTTATCACATATTTGTAACTAAATGATACATTAATTGAAACAAAACACGGTATAAACTGAGGAGTGACTCTCGTGAGGTTCATGTATTTTCTTCCCTCCGCTGGGAAACTGCTCTCATGTTAAGAAGCATCAGATCAGTGCATCTGTGCATGCACTGCATCGTCCAATCAGTGAGCGTCTGTGGGATTTCATCGAAGGATGGTCTGGTGGTTCCTCGGTTATAGCTCCTCCATTATCGCTCCTCCGGCAAAAATAAGGCTACTCAAGATGGCCCAGACAAATCAACTTCCGGTGAGAGCGAGGAGCGAGGAAATGAAAAATAAGTAGCTCAACCGGAAGGGGAGGGACTTCGCCTCTCTATAGAGTGGCGAAGTCACGCCCATCCACTTCCGGTCCATGGGACCTTATTTCGAAAAAAGTATGTATTGAAGTCAATGGAGAGTAGTGCTGGGGGGAAACGATTATTTTGAAAACGATTAATCGGGCGATTATTTGATCGATTAGTCGACTAATCGAACGATTATTTTTCTGTTGTTCAATTCATAAAAAACGTAATGTAAAAAAAAGTAATGTAAAACATTTTTTTTCCACGATACTGTGTCTCAGGGGATCTTAATATTTAAGAACCTATTAATGTGTTATACCAGATTAACGGAAATAATCTCAGCTAACTGACGATACAAACCATGTTTACCAAAACAAAACACAAGTCTCATAAGAAGCAAACTAAAATGCTATCTAAATAACCACTGAGCGAAAAATGCTAACGGACATTGGCACAGAACTCAAGATAAAAGTACCCTTATTACTTATCGTAGCTGCACATACAAGATATCCGATTAAAGCTGAGACTCCACAGATTATGTAGGTACATAGTATCATCACTGAGTGATCCGGACTCGCGACAGGGGAAGCAAATACAGTCATCACAACACGTACCTTCACAGAGCTTCTAGGGAGATCGTCTCACCGCCGTAGCTGTCAATCTGATCAAAATACGTGTTCAATGGCATTAAAATGAGAAAAAACGCGGCTGAATCGGTTAATCCATAGGTTTTTAACGTCTATGTATAAAAAAATTATTGAATTTATAATCCATAATTCCATTTGTATGTAAACATCGGAGAGCAAATGCTAGCTGCTAATGGTTGCCACCACAGCTAGCTGCTGCTTCCGGTCAAGCAGTAGTCTCAGTGAGATATAAATATATAAATATCTTTGCGTTTTGGACTAACTTTAAAATATTCCCATGCTTTTGAAGACCTAGGGCGAGATGTTTTCGTTTGAGGGCTTCGTGCGCAATCCTGTGAGGTTTCAGTCTCCATTGTGTTAGAAGTGCGATTGCGAACTGCTTGTTGCTTTGGGTGACCCACGTGTGTGTGGCGACCATATATACAGTCTATGGTGGCGACGCGTCGACGCGGAAATATGTCGTCGACGATAATTTGAAGTCGACGTCGTCGACGCGTCGCTACAGCACTAATGGAGAGAGAAAACTTATCTTTCGATCCCGTTTGAATTGTGCCACGAATTACACATATGATGTTTGTCAATCTTAAAAAATAATTTCCATGTCAAAAAAGTCACAGTTTTTCGTAAAACTGTTGAAATATAAGACTATGAACAATACGCAACTAGAAAGACTACAAATCCCAGAGTCGCGTAAGTGATGTCATAACTGATGGCACAATTGTTTTCCTCCGCTAAATATAAGAGATAGATAAGATAACTTTAACAAGATGCCTGTGTGCTTAGTACCAGGTTGTTATCATACCAGCAATGGGTCTTGCTCGTTCTTTCGCTTCCCGTCTGATGAAAGGACCAGGAGTGGCTAGATCAAGTTAGCTACCTAGCTAGTAGCAAGCACGTTAGTTAGCATTACAGCCTTAGCCTTGTCATTTTTATTAGCCTTAGTTAACATGAAGTAACATTAAGTAAACCAAAATGTTAAACAGTAAGAGTAGTAGTCATATTTCGTGAACCCTTTGAAGAGTACTGTCACACCAGTGTGATCATTCTATAATACACCATTTAAGCCCGGGGGAGAAATGCTAATGCTAACGCTGCATTAGC